TCTTAATACAAATTAAAGTTATTGAATAATAATAATAATAATAATAATTATAATAATTAATGAACTCATTTGTTCTTTAGTAAAGTGAAAAAAAAAAAAAAGGAGAATAAAATATACATTTGGAATTTTTTTTTTCCCACACCCAACAAACTATATAAGCAAGTAATCATCCAAGTACAATTACTTTTGGTAAAAAACCAAAAGTGTTAAGTAGAAGTTTACAATATTAATTAAGAGGAAGTAGCCATAGATGTGTGATTAGGGGAGTGACTAGCCATATTGGGAAAAGAGAAATTAGAAGAGAATTGAGTGAGTAAATCATGATTAGGTGATTTGAGATTAAGATAATCCCAATTAGTCTTTGTTGAATTAAGGATTAATGAATTATTAACTTCACCACCATCAATTCCAATGTGTGTTACATGCTTCACATCTGTTGGTAATCCTATTTCCATCCCCATTTCTTCCTCCTCTTCTTCCATTTGGTCCTTGTCCACTATTTCACAAAAAAAAAAAAAAGTTAAGCAATTGACTGATCGATCAAAAATATTTATCCATCATAGTCTATGATAGTCGGATAGACAATTAATCTCGTATATACAATGAGATTCGAACCCTCATCACTAGTGGTGAAAGTGTAGACAGCTCTCTACACTGAGCTATAAGATGTCATATGTCTCGCACATGATTATTGAACGTTATGCACTTACAAAGTCGGGATAATATTTTTGTTCAATTAAAATAACGAAACGTTAACTACTATAGCAATAAAATCACAATACTATTTTCTATCATGTTAAGGTATAGTTGAACTTTACACACTATAACAATAAAGTTACAAAACTTCACCTACTATATACTACTACTAATATCACATTAGTAGGTAAACAAACTTTATTAGTTTACTACTGGTATGATTTTGACTTTATACGAAATTTAAGAAAATAAAAAAAGTTATTGAATCTTGTTTATTTGATTTTGACTTTATTGTTATAATGTATAATTTATTATATTATAGTAAAAAAATAAAATAAAAGTATTGAAAGGAGAACTCACCAAATAAGTGAGACAAGTTCTTGAAATTCTTAAAAAGCCTTTGAAATTTGGGAAGGCCTAATTGGTTCTTTAAATTTTCACCCTCCAAGTTTTTCTCATCATCTTCCTCTTCTTCCTTCTCTTCTTCTAGCATTTCTGCATTATGGCAAAAAATAAAAAATCATAACCACAAACTTATTATATCAATTTATTTAATCAACGGATTTGTTGAAGACATAATTAAGAAAATTAAAATGTGATATCTTTTAATAGTTAAAACTTTTAGATGAGATAATCACACAATTCAATGTGATATCAAACCAGACAAAGGTCCTTTGTTAGAGTCTCACCGCCAACTCGTTGTCAAAATGAATTTTCACATGTTTGGGTGCTAAAAAAGAATCGGGCTAACACGTAAGGGAGCTAGTGTATTGAAAACATAATTATGAAAATAAAATCCGTCCATTATATTCTCTGAATCTAATAGTTTAAACTAATTTTAGATGAGATGATCATAATTCAACACAATGCTAGAGTAGTCAAAGATCCTCTCTATTCGACTCCCACCGTAACTTAAGCATAATGAAACGATCTTAATAATTTAACCTTTTAATGAAATGATCATACAATTCAACATGATAATAGAGCATACAAGTTTCTTACGCTCAAATCTTACCCCCAACTCATTATTAAAACAAATTTTCACGTGTTTAGCTCATAAAATATAATCAAAGAAGATTGTAGATTAATAAAATAAAAGTTCATTCTCTCTAACAAATTAAACTTTTAGATGAAATCAAAGTAGACAAAAGGTCTTCGAGTCTCACCATCACCATTCATTACGAAAAGAATTTCCACGTATTTGACTCATCAAAAAGAATCGGAACAACACAAAAAATCTAGCTAGCGCATTGAAAACACAATTAAACAGAATAAAAGCCACACTATTATCTCATATAACAACTTAAACTTTTAAACGAGATAAACGTAACAAATGTCAAGAGAAAAACAAACTTGTTGGAATTAAGTTTGGTTGATGAATGCTTGAACTTTTATGCTGTTGATGACCAATTGCAACACTTGATTCAGAGATGCAACCCACAGAAAATGGAAGTAACACAAATCTCTCCATTCTATACCTCATTTTTTGTCAAAAACACACACACACACACCAAAAATAAAATAAAAATGTCTAAGATTTTTTTTTCTTTTTGTTGAGAATTGATGAAGCAATAAGAAGAAGATGGTTGGTGAAAGACAATAGTTTGTTATATAATGCAAATAGGGTAGTTGCCTTTGTTGTTAAGTCAGAATAATTGTACAGTATTTAACAAATATTTAGATGATGTAAAAAGAACTTATTAGCATGTCCAAATCATAAAACATTACATTAATTAAACAAGAAATTACAACTTTTACATTATACATGTCTTTATCTTTGTTTCCCTTTCTTTGTATAGGTTCGATTAGAGATTTAACTTTTACAAACTAAAAAAAAGGCAGCTCGATACACTAGACATGCACGGGATTTGAGGAAAGACTAGATGACAAAGCTCTATTATTGCATCTTTAATTTACAGGAAGGGTTCGATCTCAAAGGTCTATTATACACGGTCTTAGATTACAGTTCTGCAAGAGATGGACTGACAAACTTATTTCATAGCTCAAACCTATGAATTCCTAGTTACATAATAACTTTACTAGTTACGCCAATCTTTATAAGCTTACAACTAATATATAATTATATTTAGAAAAAAATCATAAAATCACTAATTTGTAATGGGGATTTTCGATAGAATCCATCGGAATTTGGCTCATCAGCAACGTTTTCAACAACTTTTTTGTATAAAAATCTTTGCCGACAAGCCAAATTTCAACGGAACGTTTATAAAAAATTTGTGATTTCTTGATAGTGTTATAATAACCTGAAAAATAAGGTCGATATGTTATAACTAATCATTTAAATGCACTGATAATGTCTCACGTATTATATTATCAGCGTATACAAATTAAATTTTATTTGCATGTTGGGGGGGGGGGGGGGTTGGGATGGGCTAATGCATATGGTGGGGTCTTATCTTTTTACTTGCCACTCTTAGAGGAGAAGTCACCATTTATTTTTGTTGGAAAGATCATACCAAACAGTAGTGATGATCAGTCCAATGACACTTATAATAAGTTCTCTTTTCATTTTCTTTCATTTCATTTCTAGTGGAAATATTTTTTTATTTTTTCAATCATATACTTAAATTGGACTCCACCTTTTATGAAGTGTATTACAAGCATTTTAGTGCATGTAACTAAATTAGTGTCCGAATCATGTCTTGCATTGAATTATTCATGTATAGATTGATAATTTATTTCATATCCACTCATAATGTAATGATTATATAAAGTCAATCAGTTTTATCTACTGTAAAATGTTACTTGTAATATTTACTAGAAAATTGTGTAAGTTTTATACTATTTTTTCATTTTATAACAATAGTGTCTAAGCTAGTAGTTTATACGCAGATTTTGAATCCAGACCTCTGAATTTGAAAAATAAATCCTGATAGAGAGCGCTTTCTCTTTAAATTGACCTTACACTATGCGAATTTAGATTAATCGAGGGTTCAATACCAGACACCAGATAAGAAACTATGTTATTTTTTTAAATGAAGAAACAAAACATTCCTAAAGGTCATGGTCCTTGTAAAACTTTCTTAATTGTTTGTGTTTAATTTGATTTAGACATTTACCCAAGTTTAGGCATAGAGGTGGATAAGTGCATCTACATTTGTGGGGACAAAAAATAACAAACCTAACAAAATGGCTACATTATCCATTAATTGCATATAGGTAGAATTAAATACTAGACTAAAGTTTAACTTAATTAGTTTATGACTAATGTTACAGATTAAGTAAATGAGGACTTAATTTATTTATTGACAATGAAATTAACTGGTATTGTTATTCTTTGGGTGTGCACAGTATAAATTCTATTCTTATGTAATAGCTCGTGAATTTCATAAGAGAGGTAAACTGTACTAGATAAGTTGTGTGAGATGAGCTCGATCCAAAAGAACAACACATTGTTGTCGCAAGCATGGCATTTTGAACATGGTGAGACTTTCACAATGAAAGTTTCAAGTCAAACCATCTGAGTCACCCCGAAGAATCAGTAAATGGGGACTTAATATAAAGGTGGATTGACTTTTTGGTGATTAATACAATCGGTTAGTTATAAAAAAAAATAAAAAAAAATAAAAAGGTAGGATGGGAATAAAAGAAATCTTTTTTCTTTTTGTTGTTGAAACTTACATTAAATGTTCTTTTTTTCTTCTTTTTTAATAATGAAACGAAGATAGAAGACCTAATTATTTGTCCGTCAATATATTATCTGAAAATAATCATTAGAATAAAGAAAATACCAATTAATTAGGTATCTTTTTGGAGGAAGGTGACCATCATTGAAACAACAATGGCAAATTTTTTCAAATTTAAGCATATTAATAAGTGGTGATAATATTACATTATTTATTCAATTTAGATCCTTGAGCAGTTTATCGATAGGGGTAAAACATGTGTATATCCCATCCTCCTCAGATTCTACTTAAGAGGGTTGCAAATTAGCTCTCGTGTACTATCCGAAATTGATCAATGTTGAATTATGGGCAAAATTTGAACACGTGAAATTCATTCATTTCACAATTCACTCTGAATGTTATGCAGATATTAATAATGCAAAGCTTAACACCACTACTAAACATTGACATAGTGATGAGCACCCGCAAGGGTTGTAGTGAAACTAATAGGATCCCTCCATCCTTTACTCAAGAACTGAAGTTCGAGTTTGAGATCTGAGTATGAAAAATCTTGTACTTTCCCCTTAAATAGGTGTTACGTGGCACGAATCCAGATTAATCAAAGCCTCAATAAGGGTACCAAATACCATGCAATTTTCCATTCTTTTGACAACAATGTAAACATAAGACAACTGCCAATTTTTCTGATTCATGTAAAACATATTCAATATGCTTGCATTTACACACAAAAAAAATCAAGGTTAAACTCCTGTAGTACAAATAATTTGTTTTCCTCTTAAGCCTACTTTTGGAATAACCGAGACAAGATTGGAGCAACGCGATTCCTGGAGAATTAGATTGTATGAAGTCAAAATCATAGAGGTGGATAGAAATACGATGACAAGGAAAACCCGAGGAAAAGTAGGCCTCCGATTGTAGCTACTGTTCGTTGTGAGATCTTGGATGCAAGCATGCTTCCACCTATCACTGCCACTGAAGTACATATAGTGTGTCCTATTGTTGCCCCAATAGCAACTCCAATTGCGTTTTTGTGTGTAGCTAGCTGCAGAACGAAGATCATAATCAGTTAAAGACATCCTTGAACGTTAATGGCACACGTGAAGCTAATAATGCTACACATTCTACTTATCAGTTAATCTCGTTGGATAATGAACCCTCCCCTCTACCCATTTCTAGTGGTTGATCTTCTTTACTTTCATTTAAAAGATACCGGGGTTTTCATAGGTCTCCTAACATTATGCACTAGCTCATTGATCTGTCATTTGAACATCATTAAGGTTTTAAGGGAAGACAAGAGTTAACTTCGTGAGTCAGTCAGAGGTTAAACTGCAGCTCTGATGAACAAGGCATTAACGAGCACATGATGATAAAAGTAGAGCCTAGCTGCCCAGCTTCTTACGAGACACAATCAAAAGGGAATAAGAAAATCTTACAGCAATTGTTGCTATCTGGCTACGGTCTCCCCACTCTGCCAGAAAGGTCAAGATAAAGGCCTGCACAGACATCAACAACAACAAATGTTAGTTATCTTTATAAATTTTTTAGACTCTAGGATTGTAATGAAGTACTAAACTGATATTGCCGTACCAACTGAGTGAAATTTAAAAGTAAGGGAACATTCCTCTGCATGAAATGCACAGACATACCTCCAAAAATATGGGTGTAAGGAATCTAGAAAAGAATCGCCTGAAAGCTGCTTTCCCCTGTCCAGCTTCAAGTTTCTCTTCCACCTGAGATATTTCATATTCACCGAGCAGTCAAATTTACAGTCATCTCTAGACAGAGAGAAAATCAAAAGTAGTACTCCAGAGTTTTATGCGAGACCATATAGCAATATAAAACACCTAAACAACAGAAAGGGGGAACATACTTCCTCTATTTCCTTTTTCTGGGAAGCCTTTGAATCTGATGATCTCCATGCAATATAGAGAAGTCGAAGCCCGAAAAAGAGATAAAGAACTGCACAAAAATAGGACTTTGTAACTATCCAAGCGAACGAAATAAGGATGGTAAGGATAGAATCAGCCTTGTCCCACAAAAATATGGGGAAATATAAAGAAGCAAAGGAATACAAAGGGGAAAGTAGGCATATCAAGAAGGCAAAACAGAAAAAAAATTGTAGTAGTATTGCAAACCCAATGAAAAAATCATAATTTACTTCTCGTTGCATAGAAAGAACAAGTAGCTATTCACTAGTTCAACTTTACACAAAGGATAGAAAATCTGGTAAGAAACTGGAATAAGAACACTGGAAAAATTCTGTCAGCTTTCAAGTCAACATCTTATAGACAGTTAAAAATCTAAAATCAACAGAAAGGCATCAGATTGTTAGTAAACAAGACAATTACAGAACAGCAATTTGTAAAACACAAACCTGTAGCGGCACTATTTGTATGCTTCCTTGATATCAGATTTGGCACTATCCTCCCAAGCCCGGTAGAAAGTATCTAGTTATAAGAAGAGGAGACCTAGAGTTAGCACTAACAGTTTTGCACATACTAAGAGAGAACTGTAAATGAAAGAGAAATAATTGAACATAATGAAGGGGAGAGAAATGTTGCATGTGTGAACTAGCAAAGTAGGGAAGGAAATTCAATTACTTACAGTCATAACAAACAAGGCGCTGAGCGCACCGGATAAAACGATTGATTTGGGGTGACGCATTGCCATCAGAGCTGCTATTATAAATGTCTCGTCACCAATCTAGCAGCATAGCCATCCAGAAAACACATATTAAATGGAGAGTAAGGCAACATTTTGAGGAGGGCGCTGCAAAAATGAATAATTCATCGCCAAACTGCAGTTTGGTTCGACAAACAGAGGTGTTCCTGTAAACGTCTCCAACCAGCTTTTTTTGTAAGTTATAAATTTTCCAACAGATAACCTCATAGTCATCAGTAATAATATCGTAAAAGCAGACCACAAACTAGTATACAAGCTCTGTCATGGAGAAAAGTAGAACTAACCAGAAATTAACTGCAAAAAATATACAGCAACAGTAAAAAATAAAGTACACAATGGCGGAGTTACTGACCTCGCTGACAAGAATCATTGACAAACTAGCAAATAAGGCATCAAGAGTGCCAAGATTAGAGTCCACGTCCAGAACAAAATCAATAGAATCTGGATCGTCACCCCTCACAGCACCAGTCTTAATTTTCTCGACTATAATCTGAACAGTAGATAAATGCAAACTCAATAAAGTGATTAAGAAATCCACATGGTAGAAATGCTAAGCTAGATCATTTAAGCTAAGGGATAAGAATTATTTCCCTTCTCCCCATTCAAACAAGAAGTTCCTATTATTTGGAGAAATACCAAGATGTGTGACACCATTCAATTATCTTATATGACTTTTACATGTCTTAAAATAAAAATTCATTTGAAGAAACAAGTTTAAACTTGATATGATGATATCTCAATAAAGTTGACTTCCCAATTACTATTTTTACTAAACAAGAAGTTCCTATTATTTGGTGAATACCAAAATGTGTGACACCATTCAATTACCTTATATGACTTTTACATGTCTTAAAATAAAAATTCATTTGAAGAAACAAGGTTTAAACTCAATATGATGATATCTCAATAAGTTGACTTCCTAATTACTATTTTTACTATGCTTATAAATTACTTCTTACACAATACATAAGTCAAATTAACACCTTAGCTCCTCAAATAGTGTCACTTTATATTTGACATCAACTTATTGGTAACCCATTGGTTTTCAAATCTTGCACAATAGAAGGAACCAATTCTTATTTGCAGTTCTTTCAACTTTTCAACCTCAACACACTACATATCAATTATAAGAAGAGGTATATCAAGGTATCAATTCAATCATATATTCAATCGCTGTTGGAACTTCCTTTTCTTTTTTCTGATATGGCAATCCCCCCCCTCCCTCCCCCCAACAACATACCCAATGTAATCTCACAAACGGGATCTAGGAAGGGTAGAGTGTACACAGGCCTTTCCACTGCCTTGGGAGGTAGAGAGGTTGTTTCCGATAGACCCTCAGCTCTAGGAAAAGTATATCAAAAAAGAAATAACGGAGGTGAAGAAATCATGAGCATGACAAAGTATTCCGAAAAAAGAATAGTAACTACAACAAAATAATGTGATAATCGAAGTACAAGAGACGGTAGATATTAAAAGAACTCGGAAGGACAAGAAACTATAGGAGAAATACTATGATTACTAGTACGGAAGGATAGGCGAGACAATACACTACTAATTTGCTCCTTAATGACTTGAACCCCCTAAACTTATGGTTGGAGGTGGAGGACTTCTACCACTAGGATGTACCTCACTTGTCACTTTTTAGTTGAACAACTCTATGTTGATAGGTAAAGTATTAGCATAACTAGTGTAACGACAAAGACAATTTCTTGATGAACTTGACCTTGCTATTTAAAGCCCCGACGCTTTACATGTTCCTCCAACATTTGGTTTTTACCAGTCAGCACACATTTTGTTATAAGAAAATTATTACAACCAATTCACCTCAATCAATGATACATAGAACTGAATCATTGACTCTGGTACTATTGCTCCGACAAAAGCATATCAAACTAAATTGGCACTCTCTGTAATGGATGCTCGCGCAGCGCATATAACATGTCACTCTACACACTAGGTAAACCGCATGCTTGCATCTCAACTTAGCTCTATCAAATACTTAAGATTTACTTCAACATTTGATGCTAAGCTTCGTTAGATATGAACAAAAGGACAAAAAAAAACCTAAATCCTCTATTCCGGCGTAATCCTATGACATGCTACTCATATTTTGTGATGCTGATAGCAACCAATTGAGACATCTCAGAATAATCCTAATGCTCTTCGAAGGCATCTCAGGCCTTTACATAAATTGGGGTAAGAGCTTTCTTTACCCCATTAATGATGTGCCCCACATGAATCTGTTGGCATCTATTCTAGGAGGAGAGGTAGGGTCTTTGCCAACCCTTTATCTGGGAATGCCTTTGGGGGCCAATTCAAAGTCCATTGAGATTTGGGATACTGTTATTGAGAAATGTGAAAAGAAATTAGCAAGATGGAAGACCCAATACTTGTCAAGAGGAGGTAGACTGACTTTGATCAACACAGTCCTTGATGCTCTTCCAACATACATGATGTCCTTGTTTCCCATTCCAGCAGGGGTCATCAAGAGGTTGGATAGAATTAGGAGGAACTTCTTATGGCATGGTGACAAAGAGAAGAAAGGCTACCATTTGGTCAAGTGGAGCTCAGTCATTTGTGCAAAAAAATGGGGTGGTTTGGGTATCAAGAACCTGAAAATCCAAAGCACAGCTCTAATGATGAAGTGGTTGTGGAAGTTCACCAAAGAAAACCACTTATTATGGGGAAGAGTGATTAAAGCCAAATATGAACAAGAGGATAGCTGGATGACCAAGGAAGTCAATACTCCATATTGGGTCAGCCTATGGAGGTCTATCAGATCCCTCTGGAGTGAGTTGAAAACTCAATCAAGAATCAAAGTGGCAAACGGAAATAAAACCAGATTTTGGAAGGATAATTGGCATGAGGTTGGTATCATGGAACTGGTCTTTCTAGATATCTTCAACCTAGTACTTCACCAACAGAATACTATAGCTGAAATGCGGACATGTGACGGGTGGAGCTTGAATTTTAGAAGACATTTCAATGATTGGGAGGTTCAAAGAGTGGCTGATTTCCTCAACAAACTTAATCAATTTCCTGGGGTTCAAGCTGGTGAAGATCATTTATGGTGGCAGGGCAACTCCAAAGGCATTTTTAAGGTCAATGCTGCATATAAAATTATGAACCAGTCCAACCAGCAGATAGCAAACTGGCCATGGAAGCAGATTTGGAGGATAAAAGTTCCCCACAAGGTATCAATTTTTGTATGGTTACTAGCAAAGGAGGCCACTTTAACAGTGGACAACTTGATGAGCAGAGGTATGACACTGTACTCAAGATGCTTCCTGTGTAAAGAAACAGCTGAGACAGACAACCATCTATTTCTGCATTGTCCATTCACAGCTCATTTGTGGAGAATCATCCTAAACCTTAAGGGTATAGCATGGACAATGCCAGGCAAGATAACAGAGGCTCTTAGCAGCTGGGAGGGAACATGTTCACATGCTAAGGATAGGAGCAGTGGCGGAGGGAGGATTTTCATCAAGGGGGTTCAAAAAAAAAAATTAATCACATAAATAATATCCACAAATAAATTAAACGGGTCGAATCGGATATAAACGGGTTGGATTAAACTGTCGAATCAAGAAGAAAAGGGTTTTTTAATATTTGACTTTATAATTAGGGATTAAACTAATAAATCCTAAATTCCCAATCAGCGTTTTAATTTTTTGGAACTAAACATCATTTTCTGATTGCATTATTATATTTTTAAATAAATTAAAACGCCTAAAATATAAGCTGATAAAAGAAATGCCTCTGCCCGGATTCGAACACGCAACCTCGCGTGCAGTAGAGTGAATTCCTGAACCCCCAACGCCACTGAGCTACGCCTTTGGTGTATGTTCAGGGGTTCAGTACTATATATATACACGTATATTAAAAATTTAATCTAATATATATAGTGTAATTTTTCGACGAAGGGGGTTCGGATTCCTCCTACGTAAATCCGACCCTGGATAGGAGTAGATGGAGAATTGTCCCAGCTTGTATCTAGTGGACAATTTGGAAGGAGAGGAATTCCAGATGTTTTGAGAGCTTAGAGAATGATGTGCAGAAGATCAAGTTGAACTTCATCTTACTGCTATGTTTTTGGTGTAATCAAATTTATTCTAATGATATTGTGTCTATCATAGATGTTCTAGATTCTTTATATCTAGAAAGGAAAGACACTAGAGCTCTATTGTAAATATGGTTTCAGTACCACCCAAGTACTGTTTTGATCCTTGAAATGATACAAAGTTACTGATTTCAAAAAAAAAAAAACCAGAACATTCACATTAGTGGAGTTTCAAACTTACTAACTCTAAATTCCGGATCCACCTCTATTTAGCACACACACATCAAGCAAATGTTGTACCTCTCTATGCTTATAAACTACACAAATGCTGTATATTTATGCACCTCGAGCTAATTTATGTACCTTACTAAGCATAAAAATTACACACATTCTGCAAATTTTCACAACCTCAAACATATAGCAAACTGCAAATGAACTGAGAATACTCACTTTACTCCGCCTCCCCAGATCTTTGAACCTTCCCCCTGACTCAACAATTTGAGTTTCATCCCCAGCTTCCTAAATAAACCCAACAAAACAAAAAAAACTCAAAATCCATGGCACACCCATTACTGATACCCAAATAAAACTCATAAAAAAATGGACTTTTACACTACCTGAGCCGAAATCAAAGGGATACTGATGAGAAGTAACAAGATCCATATAAATTTGGGGTTTGAAAGCAAACCCATGTCGTTTTCTTTCTGGGTAATTGAGTATCAACCCCAGTCCTTGAAATTCTTCAAGAAAAACAGCAAATAAGCGAAATTAATGGGGGAAAAGGTGAGTTTTCTTAAAGGAATCGAAAAGGGTGTCAATGGATCTTGAAAAAGGGGGAATTTGGGATTGGAAAATGGAGAGAGAGGAGAAGAAGAGGAGATCTTGCGGACACAAAGGAGAAGCAAAGAGAGTAGCAAGATCTCCCCAAAGCTAGGCCTTACCAAGTGGGAAATGTTAATAGTTTTTGGTTGCTCTACAACATTCCGAGCTCTTTCGGAAACAATCTCTAATTAGTGTTAAATTTTACGTATATTCTAATTTCAGGTCTTTCGGAAATACCCTTGAGCTAATACTAAGATTGCATACATTTTATTTTCTATCGATTTCATTTATGAAATTTCATTGAACATGTCATTGCCGGCGGTGATAACATCAATCAAACTTAATAGTCTTTCTACCTACCCGAGATAATATTAATGTGTGTGTATATTTTATTTTTCTCATATCTCACTTAGTGATATTTCACTGAATATATTGACTTGTAAGGTTGTCAATAGTTGGAAGATAACACTAATAATTCTCATCAAATTTAAGGATATTTTCAATACTTCTCCCATGTTTTTTTTTATAAAGAGTTTCATACTTCAATAAGAGTTTGAGATTACTTATTATGTCATGTGACATATTAGAAGTGTATTTAAGTTCAAATAGTCAAATAATTAAGTATTTTTAAAACTGATAATAGTTCAGAAATGAAATTAATATTTTGTGTCAAGTTGAGAAATATTATCAATACTTCTCTCTTATAATTTTTGACTTGATTTGTTCCATTTGGAGATGGATGAATATAATTTCAAATTGAATGAAATAATGTGAAATATCTCATAATTACATTTGGATATGAATTTATAACATCAATATTATAATTATTAAACTTAATATAAATTTATTTTCAAATTTAAGTTAGAAAAATTCATATTATCCCACGTAACAAACGATCCATAAATTAATCAAAAATAGATCTTCCACATGATTTGAGTTGTTGATTTTATGTCCCTTTTTCTCACATTTATCTTATTTGTTCACTTCACCGACAAGGCAACAAATCACAATATGTCAACTTTTATTATTATTGTTATTATTATTTGTTTTTTCAGTTTTATGTTTGTTTTTTTCCACCTTCAATAAAATAAAGCATAGTGTCATTTGAATTAGCTTATGTGGAGATGCAAGTTCAGATAGTTTAAATTAGATATGAAAATTTTGATTCAATATTTTTATTAATCCAACTAAGTTTTGATTAGTTATGTGTATCTACTTTCTATTTCATATTAATCAATTTAGTTATTTTGAATTTAACTCTACAAATTAAATTTCTCCTTCTTATAAAAATGATCAGCTTAATAAACTATTCACAGGATTAATCAAGGATAATGACTTCATAATGGCGAGTTGATGGATGCCTGTGATAACTAATCCATAAAGATTCGCGGTAATAATAATTGTATTGTAGAAATCGATAAAGAAAGTGGTTGACAATCGTAACTAACGATAAGTGTGTTTGGTGATAGTTGATATCAGTAAATGCATAATAAATCAATTATAAGATGATAGTTATTAGAGTCGCTGCCAAATATCACATTCACGTGAATTTCAATTGAACGTTTACTGTGTACGAGATTTTAGTAAACTAAATTTTACAGAGTAAATAAAAATTTTCGTTTAAAATAAAAAATGTATTTAATAAGCTAAAGTCTCAATAATTCAAGTAAGACTTCAATGTAACACATTTTATTTAATTTTTCAATTGCTCGTTAATGCCTAGACGAATGCCCTCTTGTAAATGTCGTTCATTTATTTATTTTTTAATTATTATTATTATTTCTTATTGCAACAAGTGAAGAAAACAAACATGTGCAAAAATACTATTTAAAAAAAATAAAAATCGAGAAATAAGGTTAGTTAATCCAAAAGGGTAATGTTAAATGTATTTTGTTAAAGACATATATAAATTTGAAACCAATTTTCTAACAAAGATTAAAATTATTTCATTTCGCATAGTTTAAATGTAATTTTAACCCCTTTTCGAATAAAAAAAAACTAAATCAAGAAAGTAGAGAGTATCTTATTATGAAAACAAAGAGAAAGAGCACTTGTGTTAAGTCAACTTAAAAACTCAACAATATTAAAATAAATAATAATATAAAAATTACTACACCAATAGTATTAAGTCGGTGCTAAAGAGGCAACCAAAACACTTTATATTAGGAGCATTTTATTCTAAGCGGAGACTTTTTAATATGAATTTAGATTAATTAGTTCTAAGTGGTTTTGGACAATATGTGAAAATCAAAAAAAAAAATACACTTTATATCTCAATTTAGACGACATCATTCAAATTCTAGGGTTGAATCAGAAAAGACTTCAATCACCATTTATTCGTATGCCTTTCCAATATTTTGATTTTTAATCTTCATAATTTATAAAAGTAATATAATTTCTAACTATATAGATTGTTTTTAAAAAACCTTAAAAATTGTACTCATTGTATTTCAATTGTTTGCATTATTTCAACCTGAAGCAGATTTTAATAAAGCAAAGAAAATTTTTGAATCTTGTGGTCTTAAATTAAATACATATATACCAAAATGTTTTTTATAATATGAAACTGAAATTAAGCGGCGTTTGACAATGTTTTATTTTAAAATTTGAAAAAAATATTTAAAAATTGAAATTGTATTTGACCATGAATACAAAATAGAACTGTTTATGACCTTTTTTTACTGAGTTAAAAACTAAAAACACTTTTTTGTTATATTTCACATTCTTAAAGATTCAATTTTTTGGCCTATACTGAATTCAATCATGGAAAAAGCAAAATAAAAAAAAAATCATGATAGAAAACACCCCTTAAAAGAGTGATTATCAAGGGAAAAAATTCTTTTTGAAACAAACTGAAAAGAGTAACACAATTATTGAAAACATGAACGAATATATAATTAAAATAAAGAAGTTGAACTCTCGAAATTCAAACTAACAAACTAAAAAGTAAAGTACGACAAACATATTGAAAAATGAGATCTCCAAATGGATAGCTAAAATAATGAAGCTGAACTCTCGAAATTCAAATTAACTAAAAAGTAAAGTATGACAAACATATTGAAAAACAAGATCTCCGAATGGATAGCCAAAATAAAGAAGTTGAACTCTCAAAATTCAAACTAAAGAACTAAAACATAACGGAAAAACAAGGGAATATCTCCGAACAAATAGCTCAAATAAAGAAGTTGAATTCTCGAAATTCAAACTATGTTATATAAATTGAGACAAAACGGAGGGGGAAAGGCCAACACTTTGTCAAAAAGCAAAAAATAGTTGTGTAAAAAATTGATTGGTTGTTGTATATTTTTCTCTTCTCAAATGTTTGATTGGTTCATATTCACTCTCTTTTTGCTATTTTCTTCTATTTTCTCTTCTCTTTTGGTTTTTTGTGTGGAGAGGAAAAAACACCTCCTTTTCCTTCTCCTTCTCTTTCTCTTTGTCTCTGTTTTTCCCCTCTTTTACTTTCTCACACCATACCCCTTTTTTCTCTTCTATCTCTGTGTTTTCAGTTTTTTTTTCTTTGCTGCATTTCATCAAACACAAGGGGGGTGTTTTTATTTTTTTGTGTTGTTTGAAATCAGTGAAAAAGTTGGTCGGAATTAATGGAAATTCCGGTGATGGGTTGTTGTTAATGGAAGTAGTAGTAGTAGTAGAAGAAGAATACTTCTATTTTGCTTCTTAACCATAATCATCATCATCATGGATTTTGATGCCGGAATTTCCTTGTCTGTGACTGAAGGACCTTCCTCTTTGTCACCGTCCCTCGACCAAGGTACTGTTTTTATCCTGCCTTTTTTTTCTTGTTTTTTTTTGGGTTGAGGATCATCACTGTAGCTAAAAGAATAAAGGGTGTCTGGTGCACTAAGGTCTTGCTATGTGTGCGGGTTCTGGGGAAAGGGCCCGATTATGTAAGAGGTTGTTTTCATAGCTCGAATTGTGGTGATAAATGTAAAAAGCAAGAATTTTTTTGTTTATGGGTTGTGAACCATGTTTTGTTTTTGATTATTGGGTTTTGAATTAATGAATTTTTTAACATAAATACGAGATTTGAGCTAAAGTTATTGGGTTTTGTCGAACCGTTACCTGGATGGTGGCTTGCACTCTTTGTAATTTGACTTGCAGTTTTTTTCTTTTTTGGCTTTTTGTTGCTAAGTAAACAGGGGAAGAAGATAAAGATTCAATTTTTATAATTGGGATTTTATTTTTTAGTTGGGAAAAGGTTTCATCTTTGCCCAAGCTTTGCTGTATATGGCAGTAATACTTTATTACTCTGAGCATGTCAGAGTGCATATGTGATATTATTGTCCTTTTTGCTCTTCATATATTTTGCAATTTTTTAAATCTTTTTGCCTTTTCATTAAAAAGTACATATTTTGAATATTATTTTCACTAAAATTGATCAAAAGGAAAGTCTCTCTTTGTCTGTCTACATTCATATAATGGCAGTGCATTCATCCTTACTATTTTCCCCTCTTTCTTTTTTCTTGGTTGCTTCCATTGATATGTGGATATTGGGTCCATAGCACATTTGGTTCCTCAGTTGTCGATGAGTTTTGATTTTAGTCGTTGTTTTATCAGACCATAAGCATATGTGATTCAATTAATTGAAGCGTACACTTTTGATCCCTTTTGCAAGTTTTGAAGGGTGTCAATAAGGTGTTTTAATTATCTGATATGGTTAACAGAAGAAGAGTTCTTGTGGAATTCGTAAATAGGGAGAGATGCTTTGATGATCAATTTGGGTGCTTTTCTAATTTCTTGATGACTATTGTAAAATGTGATTACTAATTAGTAGTATAACTTATGATGATGATGAAATGCACCTGAAGTACTTACGGTTGTACTCGCCAACTTTATTGTACATTTAGCCCTCGTTTGGTGTGAGGGATTAAAAATAATAGTAATAGGATAAGGAAATAGTGATGAGATAAAAAAAAAAATTATGTTGTTTGGTTGTCATGTTTGGGATAACTTATCCCACAATTTATATCATAGTGATGGGATAAGTTATCTCATATACATGGCGGAATAAGTTATCCCAGGATAGCTAACTCCAGGATAACTTAGATAACTTATCCTGGGATAACTTGTTTCCAACCAAACGACCCTATTGTTAGAGGAACACTGTATAAGCAAATGCACAAGTTGGCTCTCAACAGGAGAAGCTTTTAA